ATTTTGTTTTCAGCTTCAGAAATACATTGGAAATTATGGTGTATAGCAGCTTGGAAGAGAAGTATGGTCAATGGTCATGGAAGTTAAGGAAATGTTCATTGGAAACACAGACCAAGTTGGAAAACCAAATTGGAAGCAACAACATTTCGGATGTCAATACCACAGATCTGATTTCTGCCTTTGATGAAGTTTATACTGGATTAAAAAGGGAGATTGAGACACATTTCAAAGAAGACAAACATGCTGAAATCCTTATTAAATGGAAAGGGAATGTTGAAAACCGACTTGAGAGCCTGAAGAATGAGCTCATTGAAAAAACCCATAAACAATGCAAAATATTAATTGAAAATAAGAGAAGCATGACAGAACTAGAGCAGAAAAAATCACATTATGAAAAAAATCTGATGCAAAAAAGCAAAACCATGGCAACTTCTTTGAAGTTGAAGGACAAGAGGCTCACTGATAAACAAGTGGAAAAAGAATTCAGTTCACTCTGGGTTAAGTGGGTATCTGAAATAGCTAATGATCAGCTACCTGATGAGCCAGTGCATATAAAAGCCGTAGTGGAGAATATTCTGTACTCTTGCTTCCAAAAACAGGCAGATATCATGAACAAGATTAAAACAATATCTAAAAAAGAAACGTTTGAATTTACAAAGAAAAAACATATCAGCCAATCTGTCATGGCAGCAACATGGGAAAGTGTTAAAGAAACATTTGGAAAGGGGATTCTCCAGGAGTTTGCTGAAAAACTCCACCGAAATGTGAATCACATGGTTGATGAATACATTAGGAACAAAAAATTGGAAAAGACAGATTTCAATAACAATTTCATATTTGAAATACTAGGTAATGTTGAAAGACATATTCAGGAATGTGAGCGCAATGAAAATGTGAAATTCACATATGAATACAGAGTTGACTTGTCAGTTTTTGTTTGCCTTGGTTCTGTCCAGAGGTTTCAAAAAATGCACGAGTCATTCAAGAAAGCTAACAATCCAATAACCTACCTGCAAAGTAAAAGGGAACAGTACTTCCAGATGTTCCAAAACTATTGCAAAGGAGCCAACTCAGTGACAATATTTGCTAAGTTTTTATTCAAAAACATTCTGCCTGCAGTTGAAGAGGCAATTTACAATCAAATTAAGTTGCATATCATTGATTCAATGAAATGCAACAACCCAGCATTCAGTGGCAACAGATGCAACCTTGAAAATCATATACTGAGGTATCTTGCAATGCAGAAGAATTTTGAGTTCTACGACGAATACATTCACAACCCAAAGTCGTATTTTAAAAGGTTTATTGGTGAACATGTGGAAATATTTTGCAAAGACTACAAAAAACTGCAGGAGATGTTTCGTGGGCGTCTAGAAGAAATAAAACTTTGCATTTTACGTATCTGCACAGAGGTATCTGAGGAAGTGAACCTGAAGAATGGCAATGCATCCATGTGGCTCGATCATTACTGTAAAAAACTTGGGGCCCACATGGTCATAAACAGGGAGAGTCTGACAAGCATTCAGGATGAAAACATTAGTGATACAAAGTTTCTGAAAGACATGATAGCCAAGTATCTTGAAGAGGTGGTTAAAAGTGAAAATATGAAAAAGGTTGATGCATCTTCTCAGCATTTACATCTCTTAAAGCAGAAAACAACAGAGATTCTTTTTAAACAGCTGGAAGGATGTTGGGCTCAGTGCCCTTTCTGCAAGGCCATCTGCACAAATACTATAACTAACCATAGTGGTGACCACAGGGTTCAGTTTCACCGGTCCGGTGCTATAGGTCACTTTTGTTATCATGAAACAGATGAATTTTCAATTGATTTCTGCACTACCAAGGTATGCAGTGATCGTACATTCAGGAGTTGTTCCAGTGGAAACTACATCCCCTATAAGTCCTACAGAGATGGTGGTGACCCTTATGATAAGTGGAGCATCACCGCAGAT